CTTAATTTATAATCTGAACTGATTAAGCAAGACTTTTGCCCTTTACAGTGCTATTGTCTCAAAGCTAAGAGTAGCAAGGGATGTGAAGGGATTGTCAGGCAGGTTTGAGAGGGGCTTGTTCATGTCTGAGGGTTTCAGCTGTGTATCTGCACGACCTTGAGTCAAGAGTTTGTTCTTCCATTTGTTTGAAGGATCTTTGCTTTTGGGCTTGTAATTGCTTTGCCAGCTCCTTGAATGTAGTTTTTTTTATATTTATTTGCACATTCAAGTAAAATAAAATATTGATTTTAAAAGTCTGCAGCTCTCACTGTTTTATGTTTCTTTCCAACTAATTTAAATTTTGTGACAACCCCCAGAATTGACTGTCTTATACCTGAAACTGGATTTTACATGGGAGAAAAATGGAAGGGTTGAAGTTCCTGGACGGGCTGCAGGGTGTGCTGATGCAGCTGTGTGTCAGCAAGTGCTGTGTGAGGGTGTGAGCAGTGCACTCGCTGATGGAAAAGGGAAATACATTTCCTGCAAGCAGAGAAAAGCAAGAGGCTGCACTCATGGGAGCTGCCAAAACCCCTCCTGTAGCAGGGAGCCCAGAGGGTGGCACAGTTGCTCCACCAGAGAGGTCTCAAAAGCAAACATTGGAAAGGCTGGAGCTGTGCCAGGGCTTGGCATGGAGCTCAGGGAAAGGTTCTTGCCCCCGAGGGTGCTGGCACTGCCCAGGCTGCCCAGGGAATGGTCCCGGCCCCAAGGCTGCCAGAGCTCCAGGAGCTCCCATGGATGCTCAGGGTGGGATTTTTGGGGTGTCTGTGCAGGGCCAGGGGCTGGATTTGATCCCTGAGGGTCCCTCCCAGCTCTGTGTCCTCCTCAGCTTTTCCCTGCCCAGGCTCAGCGCTGTCTCACAAAGATGCAGGGCCAGGGGCTGGATTTGGTCCTGGTGGATCCCTTCAGCTCTGGAGTTGTGTCCTGCCAGGCAGTGGCTCCTTGCACCCTAGCAGCACCTTTGCCAGAGATGGGGCCCAGCACAGGGAACCCCAGGAATCCCTCAGTGAACACAAGCAGGGCTCAAGACAGAAGGGGCTGATTCCAGCTCCCAACCCCACAAGCACATCTGCTACAGGTTAAGACAACACAACTGCAACCATGAAAATAACCCTCCACCCGCCTTTCCCTCAGCCTCCCCAAATTCCTGGCTAATAACACGTTGAACTGTGTTCCCTGTGAGCTCTGCACGACAAATGAATGAGTGGATTTTGCAAATGAAGCCGTGGTGATGTGACCCAGAGCTGATAGGAGTTTCCTTTACATCATCCCCAACACTTCCGTTGCCATAACAAAAGGCAGCTCTGCTCTCGGGCAGCCCCCTGCTTGCTCACAGGGAAACAAACTGTTCTTCTCCCCATAACAATCCTCTGGTGCCTGGATTGCACAGAATAATTGGATTAAAATGGTGGTTGGTGGGGGGGGGGGGATGTCTCAGAGGACACAGCCCACTTTGCACAAGTCTTCTCTTGGCCCTCTCACAACGGGGATGTTCCCTGCACCAAGGGGAGGGACAGCCAGATGTGACATGAGAGCACTTGGAGATCTCAGGGAGTGGACAACAGCAAACAGCTTTAAAACATCCTTCAGAGTTGCAGGATGGAATAGGTATAAATGGTTTGCACAATTAAACTCAGAGTGGCTAAAGGGAGTACCTGAGGTCAGCATTTAACATTCCAGGATGTTTTTAATGTGTTTCCTCATCAGGGATGCATTGAAAGGGTCAGGCCTGTGAACCAGTGAGAGAGTCTAGAACTGTGTGCAAACACTAATCGAGGTTTTCTTCATGTTTTAGCAATTTCTCTGGGTTAGAACTAACCAACTCAATTTACAGACTAAATTAAAGTCTAGCGACTCCTAACCTGTGCTAAAGGATGAATCCAAAGGGTCCTCCTGATGCTGAAAAGGAATGATGATGATGATGATGATGATGATGATGATGATGATGATGATGATGATGATGATGATGATGATGATGATGATGATGATGATGATGATGATGATGATGATGATGATGATGATGATGATGATGATGATGATGATGATGATGATGATGATGATGATGACTGAGGTCAGCATTTAACATTCCAGGATGTTTTTAATGTGTTTCCTCATCAGGGATGCATTGAAAGGGTCAGGCCTGTGAACCAGTGAGAGAGTCTAGAACTGTGTGCAAACACTAATCGAGGTTTTCTTCATGTTTTAGCAATTTCTCTGGGTTAGAACTAACCAACTCAATTTACAGACTAAATTAAAAGTCTAGCAACTCCTAACCTGTGCTAAAGGATGAATCCAAAGGGTCCTGATGCTGAAAAGGAATGATGATAATGATGTTGATGATGATGATGATGATGATGATGATGATGATGATGATGATGAGGATGATGACGATGATGATGTTGTGTCAGACCAGGTAACCCCCACCCCACTGTCACTATCTTGCTGAGAAAGGCCCCCAAAAAGCTGTTTCAGAACACTGAGTTGTGTTAATAAGCTTCAAATATTCCTGGAAAATGTCTTCATGTGGATTTTATGCTGTGAAGTGAAAAGTGCCAGCAAGCAGAAGAGCAGCTCTGACAAACCTCCCTCAGCAGGGTGAGGCTGAGGAGAATGTCTGGGGTCACCCAGGGAGAGACTGGGTGGGATCCCAGAGGGACAGGAGAAATGTGGGACAAGCAGGAGGAGAGGAGAGCATTCCCTGGAGCCAAGCAGATTTCAGGCTGGCCCTGGGAGAAAGAGGGTACCTCTGACAGAGATTTGAGGGCACCTTGAACATGCAGAGCCTGCAGATCCAGCTCTGATCTTCTGCTCAGGAACCCCCTGGAGCTGCTGGAACAGAGCAGCCACAGTGAATCCCATCCTTTACCCACCACAGTTTGCTCATCTGAGCCTCCAAGATGTATGGGACAGGCCAGGTGGTGTTTGTACCCTCCCCCTGAGCCCTGAAATCCCCAGCCTGATTTCCAGCATTACATCTTTTGGGTTCAGAGCCACGGAATGGAAGAGCCCCTGCTCCCAGGAGATTATCTATTGCGCAATGAATTACTTTAAAACCGAATTGTTACCCCACAGGGCAGGGATCACACGACTTAAAGAGATGTTAACAAGCCGTGACAAACCTCTGGCATTAGAATTTTCAGGCAAGCTGTTCTGCATCTAAGGCAGTCACTGAAGATCACACAGCATCTGAAAAATGAAGGATACAGCGATGAGTAACCTCTCTCTGCTCCACTCCAGAGACCTGCCCATAGGAAGCAGGGCTGTGATTTGCACACTATCTGAACCTGATTATGGCTAATTTTTTGCATACAGAGCATGGAAAGGATCCTGGCTGAGGCATGGAAAATATGTGGCCACATGAGTCATTCTGCAATGGTTCATAAATCCTGAGAGAATCACAAAAGCAAAACATCTAACATTGCATCTTCCCTCTCCCTGCCAGTGGAACTCCACCTCTTGACACGCTCGGCACAAGGATGTGGGAATATGGTGAAAGCAAAGGAAATAGGATCATTTTCTCCTTGGAATAGAAGAATCTCATCAAACAGCAGCCAGGCTCGGATTTGCAACCTTCACAGAAGAGGCCATTCATGAGGCGAGGAGAAAGAAACGAGCTGCTCCTCAGGTTGCCAAACCAAATTTACAGTTCCTACTGCCTGGGCTCCAGCTCCTGTCCTTCCTTCCTTCCCTGCAGAGCCAGGCAAGGACTGCAGAGAAGAGCCCAAAGCTCAGCACCCTCCAGCCATGACCTCCTGTCCCACTGGCCCGTGCACGTGGTGGCCAGGGCCACACTGGGGCTCTGGCACGGGAGATGGGAGAGGATTTAGGAGCTTCCCAGAGCAGAGCACAGAAGGGACCTGCTCTGGGGGTCAGAGCAGAGGGGACCTGGCAGCAAAGGATCTTAAGGTTCGTTGAAGCTCTGCCAGTCCCGGTTACAGCATCACCTGAGTTGTCTGGGCACAACCAGCAGCTCCTTGTGCTGCTCTGAGTTCTTAACCCAGGCAGAGTGGGGATTGTGCAGGGTGAGACTGCTCAGCTCTGGGAAAAGGCAGCATTTTTTGGGGCAGGAGTGGCTGGAGCTCCCCATTATCTCCCCACCAGCAGGGACTTCCTGCGTGCCCTTTGCAGGCCCCTTTCCTTTCCTGCTGCATGGAGCTGCTCTCCCTGTCCCAGTGCTTTATCAGAGGAAGCAAAGCATCTCCCCTCTCTGCCACCCACCCTTGGTCTGTCATGGTGCTCCTGCTGCTGCTTTCTAGAGCAAAGAGCTCCAACCCAGAGGACTTTTAACCATCTTCTGCAGTAAAATCAAGAAGGTGCAGGAGCTTGGTGCTGTTTAGCCAGGAAGCAGGAGCAGGAATAAAAGGGAATAAAATGGAATAAAAGGGAATAAAAGGGAATAAAAGGGAATAAAAGGGAACTCTGAAGGGCCCAGCCTGATCTGGAGGCTGACACTAAAAGCTTTCCACTGCCAGAACATGAGTCTGCAGGAGCCCCCTGGAATCACTGGGAGATCTGTGGGATCTGCAGCTCTGGTGTCTGGGATATCTCCCTGTTTGTAGTACCAGCAAATGTTGTGACTCAGGCTTCAGGAAAAGACCTCAGCTCACCCACAGAGCCACTCAGGCCTCTGTCGTGGGAGGATGCTCAGCATTTCCATGGGCTGAGGTGCGTGGGCTCTGTTTATGTGCAGACTGCATCAAACCCCACCACATTTGTTATTTCCAGGAATATTCCGGAGCAGGAAGGAGACCCAGATGAGTCACTTGAGCCACCATCTCACACTGAGGATGAAGTGCAGCCCTAAAACACTTGGTGTCTGGCTGAATAGGCCCCTCCCAGTCCCAGACTGATGCTGGGGACGTCCAGCCTGGGCTCCTGTGGTGCCAGCCCCTCCATCCCCTCATCCCGCCCTGATCTGCCCCGTTTCTTCTGAGAGTTAAGGAGCAGCAGGAGGAAATGCGTAAGCAGGGTCCCTGCTGCTGCTGCTCCCACACAGCTCTGGCTCTGGGCTGTGCACAGACCCTGCACTGCCATGGGCACCCTTGGGAACAGGCAGCTCCTGCTCTGCTGTGCCCTCTGGGGACTCTGCCTGGCCTCGGACTACGATGGTGAGTGTCTGCTTTGGGTGGAAATCTGCTGCTTGGTAAAGTGCTGGGTGTTTGGATCTCTGTAAGATCCCTGAAAGCTCATTTTTTAATGGGTTCACATGGGAGGATGCTCTGATAGAGCTTTGTGTGGGCTCTTGTTGAAGCAGGAGGTTGACAGAGGAGATACAGAAGAAAAAGAAGCTGGGGTGGAAGAAACTAGAAAGAGAAAGGAAAAAGAAAGGAGCAGTAAACCAGAAAGGACTCAAAAGCTAAATCTTTAGCTACTTATACACCCAGAGCCACAATTTTACACTGGAGTGGCTCCAGAACTTTGGATTGTTGTGAAAGACCAGCAGAGGAATTGTTCTCTGGATTCCCAGGCCTATTCATGGCTGTAGAGAGGAATTTCTCTCTGGATTCCCAGGCCTGTACATGGCTGTAGAGAGGAATTTCCCTCTGGATTCCCAGGCCTGTTCATGGCTGTACAGAGGAATTTCTCTCTGTATCCCCAGGCCTGCTGATGGCTGTAGAGCATTACAGTCCATTGTAAGCTGTGGAAAACCAGAGGGCAAAGGAATCAGGGATGTTCCCAGAAAGGTGGCTGCGGGTGGCTCCTGCACACCAAACTCTGCCAGCCAGCTTTTCCTGCCCATCACTCAACAGCCTTTCCAGAACATTCCCAGTTGTAGGGGCCCCAACAGAAAAGACAAAGAGCAGCCTTTGGGGTGAGCTGTGTGCACAGCCTCCACAGAGTCTCCAGCCGAGTGAGGAACAGGCTGAGTGAGTAACAGGCTGCCTTCCCCTCTCAGATTACTCTCAGAACAGCACCAGCGAGCAGGCCAGCACACCAGAGGTCACCCCGTGTCCCCGAGCCATCCCGGGCGACCAGGCCACGGTCAACAATGTCACCTACCTGCTGATCCCCGAGGCCACCCGTGCCCAGCTGGGCAGTGCCATCACCGTCAGGCTCATCCCGTGCCTCTACAGCCTGGTGTTCCTGCTGGGGCTGCCGGCCAACGCGCTGGCCCTCTGGGTGCTGGCCACCAGGGCCGAGCGCCTGGCCTCCACCGTGTTCCTGATGAACCTGGCCGCCGCCGACCTGCTGCTCGTCTCCGTGCTGCCCTTCAAGATCTCCTACTATTTCCTGGGCAACCACTGGCCCTTCGGGGAAGGGCTGTGCCGCCTCACCACGGCTCTCTTCTACGGCAACATGCACTGCTCCGTGCTGCTGCTCACCTGCATCAGCGTGGATCGCTACCTGGCCGTGGCTCACCCCTTCTCCTCCCGCGCCTTCCGCACTCCCACCTTGGCCGCCGGCACCTGCGCCGGGGTCTGGCTCTGCTCTGCTGCCCTGACGCTGCCCCTGACCCTGCAGCAGCAGTCCTACCCCCTGCTCGGGGCAGGCCTCACGCTGTGCCACGACGTCCTGCCCCGGCACGAGGATGATGGTTTCTACTTTTATTATTTCGTGGCGCTGATCGCCTGCGCCTTCCTGCTGCCGCTGCTGCTGCTGGCGCTGAGCTCGGGCGCGGTGCTGCGCGTCCTCCTGCGCGGGGGCGGCCGCTACGGCCACGCCGCCAAGCTCACGGCCCTCGTGGTCGTCACCCTCGTGGTTTTCTATGCCCCCAGCAACGTCCTCCTGCTGCTTCACTACTCCAGCCCCTGCTCCAAGCTGCACGGCCGGCTGTACCTCAGCTACATGGTCAGCCTGGCCCTCAGCACCTTCAACAGCTGCGCTGATCCCTTCGTCTACTACTACGTGTCGGAGGATTTCCGGGAGAAGGTGAGGAGGAGAGTCTTCAGTGGCAGCAAAAAAACCACCACTTCCCTAAAGACCTCCAAGGAAACGCTGCCCCGGTCCAAGCATTCGCTGGTGTGAGCCTCCAGCCCGGCTCGCTGCTCCCAGGGCTCTCAGAATGCACACAGTGGGGATAAGAGGAATTCAGCACTGGAATTCCACAAGTTTCACCCAGAACAGCTTTTCCCAGGAGCCAAGTGCTTTCCCTGTCTGCACAGATAAGGATGAATAAACCCAGGCTGTGAGATTCTTTGCCCAGAGGAGATGCTGAGTGCTGGACACATCCATCCTTTACTGGGACACTGCCTGCAGCCTCTCAGCTGCTCCCACACCACCAGGGATGTTCCTCCCCATACACCTGGGTCTGCTGTTCCTAACCTGGCTGCTCTCTGCCTGCTACTCCTGCTCCTGGCTTGCTCTCTGTCCTTAAATGCATATTCCCTTCCCCTAAAACAAAAAAAGAGGCATCATTGCAAAACCAAATGTCTAAATGTTTCAAAAGCTACTCTCCTGAACTAAACCAGTCTGTCAAAGGACTGCAGAGTACTGGCTTGTGTAGCAAAAACATTCTTGGCTTGATTTGTCAGCAACCCCTCAGGAACGTCAGCCCACCGTTGGTAAAAGGTGTAAAAATCCCCTTCACTCATCCCTGTTTTTGCAAATCACCCTTGGCATCCATCATTTATTTGAGGCAAATGTTGTATTAATGGATTTTATAAAAAAATGATGTCTCATGAAGGGAAATAGTAAAGTAGGAATGGAGCAAAGCCTCTGGTACTTCACATTTCCTTTATGTAATGTCACCTACAGCCAAAAGCTGGCTCTGATCAAAGTGGTGCTCAGGTTTGTTGTTTGTTGTACCTGCTGCAAATCTGACAAAATGCAGCCTGCCCATCTCTCAGACACAACTGGGGCAGAGCCCTGTGAGCAGCCAGGTAGAAAATGAGCAATAAACCTCTTTAGAGCTCCTTAATTCTTTAGTTTTCCCAGCACAGGCTTGACAAGATAAAGCATGAATAAGAGGCAGAGAGGATTGTCTTAAAATCAGTTTTTAATAAAATATTTATCAGAATCTAAAACAAACAATTTTCTGGACTCAGACTTGCTAAGATGTGTGTGAACAGACCAACAGCTAGTCAGAGAGCTGTTTGTGTGTACCTGTGGGGGCAAAAGGCAGGGGAAACACAAAGCTGGGCTCCAGGTGCTGGGCTCTCAGTCAGAAACAGCAGGGACTAAAAAAACCTCAAACCCAAAGGCAGGCTGGTAGAGGTTTTCTAAAGAGTTTCTCTATTCACAATAATGAAAACCAGGTTATTGTGCATTAAATGTCAGCAGTCAGTGTGAGCAAAGCAAGTGCTGGTGTGTTGGGGATGTTCTTCAAGCAAGCTGAACATTTTTTCTGGTATTTGCTTTCTACTGAGGCTGATTAAGAAGGAGGGGAAGAGGCAAGACCAAAACACAGGAGAAGAAAGAACAAGGGGAACTATTGCTTTAAAATAAATACCATGGTAATGATTACTCTGCATAATGTACAGGTACAAATATATAAATATTAATTTCCTTGAAAGGATTGCAAGCATCAATCACTGATAACTAGCACTGCTGCAGCTATTCAGTCACAGAACTCGATGGAAGAAGCAATTTCTGTGTCTTACAAACCCACTGGCACTTTTCTCCTTTTGTAGTGAGGGACCATCAGGAAAAGGAAAGGAGAAACATCTCTCTGACAGAGGAAGGCAAAGTCTCTAAGCCAGAAACAACCCAAAGCAGCAGCCTTGCTGGCTTTGGCTTTCCAGCACCCAGCTGGCCTTTTCCTTGGTGGAAAAAAAAAACAAAACCAATCCTTCTCTCTAAACTGCCTGGCTGAGGTGCACAAAGTGGGAGCCTGAGATGTCCTTGTGCTCTCAGGGACAGGAGGGAGACTGAGCAGAGCTGGACCTAAGCCTGTCAATGGCTTTGGGTCTGTTCTGCTTTGTCCAGTGGTGCTCAGGGATCCAGTCCTACACTTTCTGTATTCCAAGCAGGATGTTGAAGAATGGAGGAAAAATAATCTATGATTTTTTTCCCCTAGATAAGAATGAATGATGGTGACAAGAAACACGAACTACAAATGTGGGACAGGGGAAAGCTCTGGACCCTCAGCTGGGGTGGAGAAGAGAGCAGAGACCTCCTTTATTCCTGTGATAGGGGGAAAAGGCAACCACAGTGGTGGAACTGCAGTTTATTTGATTCATTTCCTTAAATAAAATCACCTTTTTAGCAACAAAGAGGAGCTGGTTTGGTGTAGCAAGAGCAGGGGGAGGCAGCAGCTGCCAAGAGCAGAGGAACTGGAAGTGCCAAGGCTGGGGGTGAAGTCAGGATCCAGAAATCCTGCCACATCCCCTCCCACACACTGCCCTGCTCTGTCTGACTCTGAGGACAGGAAGGCTGCTCTGCCTTTGCCTTCTGAGGGTCCAGGGCTCTCTGGCTTTCCTTTGAATTGTAAAACAGAAGCCAGACTCCTCTGCCTCAAGCACTGGCACAGAGATCCCTCAGACAAGGCCCTGATTGATGGGCTGGCACCACCAGCAGGAATTATTTACCTGGCAGCAACAGGGGGATGTCTGCAGCTGGAATTAGGACATTACATCTCCCACAGCCTGAGGAAAGCAAAGAAAGCCAGGTTTAATTCTTGGCTGGAACTCCCCACCCTCACCTCCTCGTCCCTAGAGGGAGGTCTGAGTGCCCAAGGATCTGTGAGAGGACCAAGCAGTTTAAAACTACTTCAAATATCTCTCCAGAAGCATTCACTGGGTGTACAATGGGTGAGAGAGAGCAGGAGAGGAAAACCAGAAAGGGACTGAGGACTCCAGAAAACAGGTCCCATCTCCTGGATGAAGGCAGTCACAAACATCACCAGGGTCACCAAATGCCTCATCCTCCCAGCTCACAGCACCAAACAGCTGCAGCCTGAACCAGCAAACAGCAGGGTTTGTATTGTGCAGTTTTGAGTTTTAGGGGAAAAAAAAAAAAAAGAAAAGGAATCTTGTTGCAGCTCACACTAGGCCTGTTATTTACCCAGAGATAAATATTGACTCAGTCCTGTGTGTGTACACAATAGCCAGTGCCTGCCAGGACAGTTGCTTGCAGGAGGTGGAATTTCGTTTAAAGGCATTTATTTACCTGCCAGGCAGGAATGCAGCTGCCAGGGTGAGGGCAGGATCTGCCCCTGCACACCCCAGATGTGAGGCAGGACTCTCATCCCAGCAGGATCCTGGGAGCAGCCACGAGGGGAGGCTGGCACAGCTGCCAGCTTCTGAGGCAGCTCAGAAATTTCTGGGAACTTCAAGACCCAGACCTTCATCATGTCAACTGCATTCTGCAAATATCTGGCCCCAGACAAAAAGGACTGGAAACTACACATGCCCAACCTCTGGGATACCTCCTGGTTGTCCCCATGTGGACATTTTTCTGGAATAAACTTGCCTTTATTCTGGAATGGAATGTCTATACTGGGATATATTCTTGTCATGGTTCCTGTGTAAACAAGCCTTAAAAATGAATGGAGCTGGGATTTTTTTTTTTCTGTTTCCATTCACCAATAAACACCCTCAAAAGGAGTTTCCACCCTGCTCTGGGTCCTGGTAACAATAGAAGTGGGAAGATAAAATATTAACATTATTTTGCAAGAGGCAATTGCATGTAACTCCTCCAAAGAGAACAATGCTGCTCCAGGCAGGAAGGGAAACTCAAAAATCTTGGCTCCTGCACTTTTGGAAACACAAAGCTTTTCTTTTTAAGTTTTGCCACGTTGCTTGGGGCAGGTCAGACCGAGGGAGTCCAGCCTGTGACACCAGGGATTGGTACTGGCCAGCAGAGCCAGGCCTGGCCAGGGAGTACCAGGACCAGAACATGCTGTGCTGGATGCCAGTGGGAGTAAAATAAAAGGGGTTGGTGAAATCAGGCAAACATTTAAAAGGGCTGTGCCTGGGCCAGGTTCATTTTCAGGCCAGGCTTTGTGGAGAAAGGGGCTGAGAAGGCTGCAAGCAGCCCCTGTCAGCACATAGTGCAACACAAAGAGGGCTCCCCCACCTCATCCCTGCTTCTGCTGAGGCTGCAAACAGCAGCAGACATGAAGCCTTTCAGCCCTGGCAGTGGATTTCAGTTTTCTCAGGTAAAATGCACCTCCCAGGAGCTTTCCTGAATTGTGGAGCCACAGGGAAGTGTTTCTCTCGTGGGTGCAGACTGATAGGCTGAGGAAGATGAGCAGCCTCTTGCTATGTCATAATTGGCAAAACACACTGATTTTTATTATTATAATTTGAGCAAAAAACTTCTCAGCCATCTTTCCTCAAACAGCAGTTCAGCTAAGCACAAGCCCTGGACTTAGCTTCTAAGTGTAGCTAGGAAATGGCATTTGCAGAATATCCTGATAGCAAAGAAAACACTTGGAAATGCTCTATAGGTTTGAAATCCAGCCCCCATTTTTTCTCACCTAGAAGGCACAGCATATTGGTCTCTCATCACTGGGAGGGCTCCAAAGAGGATGCACAAGAAGGCAGGAAAATGGCAGAAAAATAACGCTGAGTGTCCCCCTTAGAGCTCCAGATCTGCCCCGTGGGGCAGCAAAGCCTACAGTTCTGAGGGCACCAGGAAGTAGTCATCATTCAGATTCTGTTCTGCAGCAGGTCTTCTGGAGGAACAAACTCATACAGGAGTTGATTCTGAGCCTCTTCTCTTTATTTAAATTATGTATTTCTGCGGGAAAGAGAACACAAGGAAGAAAAGTCACCTTGCTGTGATGCATCTTTGTGAGATATCACTGAGCCTGGGAAAAGCTGAAAAGGTCACAGAGCTGGGAGGGACCCTCGGGGATCAAATCCAGCCCCTGTCCCTGCCCAGCCACCCCAACAAGCCCACCCTGAGCACCCCTGGCAGCGCTGCCCAAACGCCCCTGCAGCTCTGGCAGCCTTGGGGCCGGGACCATTCCCTGGGCAGCCTGGGCAGTGCCAGCACCCTCAGGGGCAAGAACCTTTCCCTGAGCTCCATGCCAAGCCCTGGCACAGCTCCAGCCCTTCCTGGCCTCCTGTCCCTGTCACCCCAAAGCAAGATCTGTGTCCATTCCTCCTCCCCCTATCATGAGACTGATCAGCCTCTCCTCTGCTCCAGCTGAACACACCAAGTGACAGATCACTCCATTCCACTGGGCATGAAACCACTGAGATCCCAGAGCCTTTTACAGCTGCCCCAGCAAGCCCCCATTCCCACTGACCCCCTTTTTGTGGAACAGAGCAGCACAAGGACACCACAGGCTGGCTCAGAGCAGCCCCCTGCCCCGCTGTGGACTCACCATTCTGCTGGGGTGGCCTCAGCCTGGCTGCTGTCCCCTTCCCTGAAGGTGCTGGCCGTGCTCAGCTCTGCCACCACCTCGAACACGTCGCCCTCCACGGCGAAGGCGTCGGGGTCGTACTCGTAGGAGTAGTAGGACAGGTCTGTGTGCAGGGGGGGCCCCTCCTCGGCTGCTGGGGGAACCAGAGCTGCAGGAGCTGCGTGGCCACACAGCAGGGCAGGGCAGCAGCAGGAAGGGGTTTTACTCAGGGACACCAGGGAAGGAGGCTGCAGGTGTCAGCACACCTGCGCGTGTTTGGTGGGTTCACAGGGAAAGGGAGGAGCTGCTGCAAAAGGAGTTTTCAATTTTCCAGTCTGAGAAACTGGAATTAAATGCAAGGAAAAAGGGGGGAACAAAGAGAGGGGTAAAGGGGAAATAAGGAGGAAAAGGGAAAACAAAAGGGGAAGGCAAATAAGGGTAGGAAAAGGAGGAAACAAGGAGGGGAAATGAGAAAGCAAGGGGGGGAAGAAGAAGAAGACACAAAGGGGGAAAGAAGGAGAAAACAAGGGTGGAAAGAGGAGAAACGAAGGGAGAAAGAAGGAGAAACAAGGGGAGAAAGAAGGAGAAAACAAGGGGGGAAAGGGAAATAAAGGGAGGCAAAGGGCAACGTAGTTTGAAAAAATCTCCAGGTCTCCTTTTCCAGCATGGAATTAACTGAGGTGCTGAAGTTCAAACCCATCAGCCTGAGGGCTGCACACAGCAAGGTAAAAGAAGGGGGCAGATGGGACAGGGGATTCACTCTGCACCCTGAAAATTTCTCCTCTGACCAGGCACCTCAGGGAAGGAGAGCCCCATCTGTATGGGGACATGTCCTGTGTGCCCTCAGCTGTGCATCATTCCATAAAACAAGTGACAAAGCTGGAGGGACACCCTGAGGGAACAGCTCACTTGGTGACTGATCAGTGGAGGCAGCCAATTTTCTTTTCAGCCCAACAAGTGTGAAGGTTTTGAGGCCAGGAACCCACAGCAAAGCCATGGTCTCCAGCCTGAACGAGGAGCTGAGGTACCTCTGCCCCAGCACAGTCACACAGCACTGAAATTTCCTACTTTGTGTAGGGACAGACCCAGCACAGGCAGGAACAGGAATTTCTCCTCTTCCCACTCCCTGCAGTCTGTGCTGACACTGGTAGGTCCCTCTCACAGCACACACCCCACTCACACCAGGCTGTGCCTCTGTGCTCCCTGTCCAAACTGCAAGATAAAACTTCTAGGAACAGCAGCAGACCCGTGTTTCCTAAACTGCTCCTCGAGCCAGCTCAGCTGTCCATCCTTCCTGTTTGCTCTCTGTGTACACTGCCCCAGTCCAAACCAAAGCAAGCACTGAGGCAGAATTATTGCAGGGAGGAAAAGTCCCCTGCCCACCCAAAGCTGGCTTTATTTAAAGAGAACACTCAGCAAGGCCTTTGAAAATGTTTGTTCTCTAGAAATAAAATATCTGAAGGATCTTCCCTGTTGCCTCCCACATCCTCCCAGCACTGGGCAGGGGAGTCAGGCTCTGTTCCCTCCTTCTTGGCCTCCTCCCTGTGAGAACCTGCCAGACCATGAGCTCCTTCTATGAATGGGTGATTGCTGTCCACCAGGGCTGGGATGAACATCACAGGCCTGACTCTTCCCAGGAATTCAGCTCTGGAGCCCAAGCAAAGAGCACAGGCCGACGTTTCCTGCTGCACACAAACCACTCCCCCAGCCCCAAATGTTTGTGCTGAGGCCAATGTTTGCTGAGCAGTGATGGGGGGAGAGGAAAACCAGCCCTGTGCCAGCTCAATCAATCCTGAAAAAGCTGCAGCCCTGTGGGGAACACACCACCCAGGGAATTTTGGGGATGACTCCACCTGGAAGCAGAGCTCAGGCTGATGGTCCTGATGGGAGCTGAGGGTGTGGGTTAAGGTTAGGCAATTAATTAAAAAAAACCCAAACCCCACAAACAAAATACCACCACCAAAGCATCATAATTCCACCTAGAACTTTCTTCCAGTTCCAGCCATTGGCCCTTTCTGATTGCTGGAGCAAAACTGTGCAAAGGGCATGGCTGTGGGTGAGGCAGGGGGCCAGAGAGCTCAGCCTGGGGGGCTCCCTGCTCACAGCAGCACTGATACCCCAGCACTGCTGCCCCACACTCTTGGAGGTTGTTTTCCACCAAATCCATGCAGAATCACAGCACTGTGATGGCAACATGTTGTCCTCCAATATCAGTGGCTGTGCCTTGAGTGCCTTTGGCAGAGGAGATTTAATTTGTTTCAGAAGAGAGTTAGTGTGGAAGCAATCAAGGCACCACTTCATCACAGAGACACAGTCAGAGCTACTGAGGATCCCACGGGCTCTGAAATCCACCCAGACCCTTGTGGCCAAGGAGTGACAAGGATCTCAGGAAAGGCACAGCCAGAAATTCAGCGAGATCCCAGTCAGTAACTCAGCTCCTGCTCCAGGGTTTTCTATCCAAACAAATATTGCAGCCGGCTGTGAAGGCACATGAGCACACCCAGAGCTGGGTCCACTCATCAAAATCCTGTCCCACCCTTTTGAGACTCAGTAATTCACCTGAGAAGGAACAGCTGAGAAAGGGGACTCACACAGGAGTTGTTTCAGCTGAGTTCTGTCACCCTGCAAACT